CCAGCTGCATCGGGGACGCCGATCTCCACCTCGCTGGCGAACAAAAAAACGATGTGCCGAGCGTCACGTCCGCGTGCACGGCACAAGCGGAAATCAGAACGAGATAGTGTTGCAGCGGAGGAGTACGACCAGGCGGGAGGGTGGATACGCGGGGCAGAACTTGCTCGGTTGAATACCGGCAGTCGGTTGACATGTCTCAAGACAATGCCAAAAGTTGTCTTTGCTCTTTGGGGGCAAGTGCCTGATGCACATCGGTCATGTACTTCTGTGATTTTTCCAACATGGATCGTGAGATGCGTTTGTTTTTCGTGACAATTGCACGGTGGCCAGTCCTGCTCATTTCGAGCGGCCAGCAGACTCCTCTGAGGGCAACAGGAAGGTACACGTACAGCACCTCGGTAAATACTGTAGCTGCACTAACCTGTCCAAGCGACCGGGCCTTCGCAGGGCAGGATCAAGCGCTTGAGGCCTGTTCGTGCACGCAATCACCACCACCTGGCGACGTCGGGCGGATGGGCAGCGAACGAACTGTCGTCAGAATGTACGAGCCAAACTGCAGTCGGTCAAGCACCTTGGTTGACGACCGGTTCATGCCGGGTATCTCACAACTGCGCGCGGCCATCACGTCTGCAACAGCAGCTGGCACAACGTTTGATGTGGGCAGCTTCGAGCCAAAGCGCTTCTAGAGGCTTGGAACCGCAAAGACCTGCTCACAAAAGGACCGATTGTTGGGTGCAGCAGCATGTACCACAATCTATCACCCATCCGGCCTCTGTTTTTTACAGCCAGCACCCTAAACCACAGACCTGTTCTTGAGCGTCCACCCCGTCCATCAGAGCCAGCATGGTGGAGACCACCCTGCGCTGCGCCTCGCTGCTGGCCTGGTCCCGCCGGGGGCAAAGCGTGTCGATCTCGTCGAACACCATCAGGCAAGGCGCGCAACGCGAGGCCTCCGCGAACCTCTGGCGAAGCGCGCCCTCGCTTTCGCCCACAAACCTGCCGTTTTATCGCGTGTACGGTAGTCGCCGTTGGTCGACATTGTGGCAGCGGAAGTACAAGAGCAGCAAGAGTGAGGCTATGAGATGAAATGTGATCACTCCTTCCCGTGCAGAAATGAGTGAAGAGGCGACCTGCATGTAGAGGTGGGATGCACTGAAAATATGGCAACTAACCGGCAACGCAGCGACGACAAACATCACAACCATAAGCTAACAACACATGAACACATGGTACCACCCCAAGCTCGAGGTCGTCCGCCCATGTGTACCACAAAATACGATCGTCCAACGACATAAAGCCCTCCATCCTCACGTCAACTTTCTGTGTCTTTCTCGTCAGCAGCGCTATCGTTCCCACCCACCTTGACATCAGCTCCGAGCCGTTGACGACGATAACATGGCACCCGCACGCATTCGCCGCCGCCCTAGCTAGCGTGGTCTTGCCCGTCCCCGGCGGTCCATGAAGCAGAACGCCTCGAGGAGGGCGAACTCCGTATTTCCGTAGAATGTCTGGGGATGTCAGGGGCAACTCGATGGCCTCCCTGAGCTGCTGGATCTGGGACGAGAGCCCTCCCACGGATCCCCAATCGCCGTCGCGTGGTGTGCCGCCTCCCGCCCGTCTTTGTTGAGAACATTCGCCACCACCAAGCGCGCGTTTCGCGCCGGAGGGGTCTGTAGATATCTGCAACCTTGTCCCGCCATCATCACCTTCCGGCGAACAAGCGTCGGCGGCCGAAAGCCGAATCGACGTGTCCACGGCGACGAACCAGAGCGTCTCGCCAGCACCCCATGATCGAATTCCGGTGGGTTCATCGCCCCCGCGCCCACTACTGCTGTCACGGTTTTCAAACCGTTGGCGCAGCGCTGACGGGGTTGCTGGAGAGTGCGGTCCTCCTGCGATTCGTCCTCCAAGAACGGGCGCCGGCGAGGATTCTTGTCCTGAAACAGTGGAGAAGGAGGCGAACCCAGCAGTCCCCGGCAATGTACCCGATTGTGTCTGCTGCTGCTGCTGCTGTCTCTCCGTCCCGGTGTTCCCGCCCGCCGTCGTCGTTCGCAACAGAGATGATCCGGCGCCGTACTTCTTTTCTAGCTTGGCGAAGAGCGTTTCTTCGCGCCCGGCGTACTTTTCGAGAATACCATCGATGTCGCCGCCTACAAGCTTGTCGGGGTTGTGCTCCCGGTAGAACGCCTCCAAGCGCACACGCGCCACCGCCGTCGGGCTGTCCTCTCTTCGTGGCTCCGCGTTGCTTCCGTTGGCACTGTCCGTTATTGCTGTTGGCACTCTTGTTGCCGTACCGTCTTGCCCATGATCAGCTGGCGCTGCGACAGGAGGCGGCGGCGGCGGCGCCACCCCCGGTTTCCCGGGCGTTGACTCTGCAACGCGCGGCTCGGATACTGAAAGGGCCGCCAACGGCGCCACTAGAGAGTCGCCAGTGACATCTTCAGCCTCTGACGCTTTCACTTTGGCTGCTGCGGTCGCTACTGCTGCTGTATGCTGACGGCTAGGAATGGGCGGTTCGAGAGTCGCCACCCGGAAGAGGTGGGGTACGCCTTCGAACGACACCGATAGCACGTCGCCCTCCCGTGCGTAAGTCCCGTAGGCGCAATACCTCGCCGCCCGTTGCAGCAGCGCCATTCTACCCGCCGCCAGCCTCTCTAGGTACACGCGGGGCGAAAATGTCGTCGACAACGACCCCTGCTGCGCCACCGGACCCCCCCCGCCCCCACTCCGCCCGCCCGGCAACCCAACGCCGGCCTCCAAGACAAGATCCAACGAGCTTGCCGTTACTATCGTAGCGGACGTGTCGGACAAACGGCGGACCCGCACTCGCGCGCCTTCCCCTCCTGCTCCTGCTGCATCTTCGGTGTCGCAACCGAGCAGGCTTTGGGCCGAGGCGGAGCTCAGGCCGACGCCACCCGGACGCAGCGCGGCCGACGGGAGAGAACAGATACGCCCCGCGATTAGTCTGCTCGGGCCAGCCAGGACGGCGACGAGCTCTCTCGACCGGAAGCCACTCTTGCGGAAGTCCTCCTCCGTCAGGGCTACTATTCGTCCACGTTTATTGTCGTTCGGCAAGGATAAGGACGGCATATTCAGGTGCGGGGGGATGGAATGGTTTTCCGTATGGGTTGTGGCGCAAAAGCACAGATTCGAGTGCACGGTAGTATTTCTGTTGAAGTGAATGCCGTATCGTGCAATACCAAAGCAGCGCCCTGTCCATTGAGCAGGTCGTTCAACAGCTACTACAGGTCCCGGTGTTCCTCAGAAGCAACTCTGAAGCCGAAAATGTTGAGCCACAACGTGTTAGATATACTCGTGGCGTAGTAAACATGGTTGAATTTTGGACATGGATCGACGGAGATTGCAATTGGTAGATTGCGGAGGAACAGGGAGTTTCTACTTGGTTTCTTCGGAGATTCGATGAGTGATCTGAATTGCGTGACGGATGAGTGTTCTGCTTTTCTCTTCGGTTCCTCGGACACAAGTGTTCTCTGCTGTCCCCTCTCCCTGATAATACAAGACTGTCTCATCTCGGCCCTCACTGGCCGAGCTGCCTTTCTCCACAAACCTTCAAGGTTCGGCCTACCCGGTTTACCCAACACGCTAGCGTGCCGATATCACGGTATCTGCACGCGGGCGTAGCCTTCCGGGGGTTGTGCAGTCACGCGCAATCGGTAGAAGACTCCCACAACAACAGACACCATGGAGGGCATCGACCTTTCCGCCCTTAGCGGGGAAATGACTAAGGGTGCTTGTGAAAGTGATCATCTGGGATTCGAACCCGTGCGTGAAGGCTTCACGCACGGGTTCGAATCCCAGAGCTTAACGCACGAGTTCGAATCCCAGATGATCACTTTCACAAGCACCCTTAGTCATTTCCCTGCTAAGGGCGGAGAGGTCGATGCCCTCCATGGTGACTGTTGTTGTGGGAGTCTACCGATTGCGCGTGACTGCACAACCCCCGGAAGGCTACGCCCGCGTGCAGATACCGTGATATCGGCACGCTAGCGTGTTGGGTAAACCGGGTAGGCCGAACCTTGAAGGTTTGTGGAGAAAGGCAGCTCGTCCAGTGAGGGCCGAGATGAGACAGTCTTGTATTATCAGGGAGAGGGGACAGCAGAGAACACTTGTGTNAAAAGTGATCCGGCCGGTATTTGATCCCTCGTAGTCCAATGGTTAGGATATATCGCTCTCACCGATCAGATCTGTGTTAAATTCCCGGCAGCTTCACCATAATCGATAAAGTTAAACCATTAGACTAGTCAGCGCTGACTCCGTAGTCTAATGGGGTAAGCCTTACTAACAAAAGATACACTCTCGGCTCGTAGCCACCCGGCTGGTCACTGGGAATTTAGAAGTAGCGATCTCCGGGGACGGACCCCTCGCCAGGCGCTGCAGGAAAATAACTAAGGGTGCTTGTGAAAGTGACCATCTGGGATTCGAACCCGTGCGTGTATCCTTTGTTAGTAAGGCTTACCCCAATAGACTACGAAGTCAGCGCTGACTAGTCTAGTAGTGTAACTTTATCGATTACATTTTTTTTTGGGGGGGGAGAAGGAAACTTGATTGGAGAGAGACGGTGGTGATGGTGGAGAGAGAGGGAAGAAGTGCGCAGCACGCACGCAAGCCTCATCATCGCACCGACCACGCCCAAAGAGTCCCCGTGACTGCGCTGGTGGTACCCTTCAACACACGAAATTCCCAACACGTATCCCCCTGGGATCCTCACGACCAGATACTGCTGCGAGTATATTTAACATCCCCCCACCTCGCAACAGTTTCTCACTGAAAACTTCGCTCACACCCGATATCTCAACCAAAAGACGTCTTTCCCAGAATATATACCATGAAGACTTGACCATAATAATACAAGAGAGAAAAACAATTCAAAGAAACATGAATGCTGCATCGCGCGCAACAAATATTTGGCGCGGGAAATGAAACAAAACGGGAAACAAAACAAGACCAAAACACAACCTATCAGAAAAACAATTAAATGGTCATGCCAAGTTCATCACAAAATCACGGTGGGACTCGAAAGCATCCTTCGACAAACTCTTCGTAAGAAAGTCTGCACGCTGGTACGGCGACGGCACGTGGATGACCGAAATTTCCTTCCTCTCTACCAGTTCCCTGAGAAAATGGTGCCTTACATCTATGTGCTTCGAGTTCGAGTTTGAGATGGGGTTCTGCGCTAGTTGAATCGCCCCCTGGTAGTCCTCGAAGATGGGGATGCACGGCATGCCGACCTGCGGCAACATGAAACGCCAAATCTGCCTCAAAAACAAAATTCTTTTTCACTACGTCACCTAGCGCGACGTACTTTGCTTCGGTGGTCGAAAGCGTGACACACTTCTGCGTTCTCCACTAATTGCTACTTCGCTGGAGTAAAAGTCCCCGCTTCCAACAAGCCATAAAACTCCCTTTGCACAGAGCACCGGCACCTTGACAGACTTTGTCGAGGGTGATTGGGTAAGAGCCAACCAAAGATTGGTAGCACCGATGGGCAGCAGCCGCATGCGCGGCTGACGACACCCAACCAGACGAAGAGGCCACCAACGGCGAGGGCCTGCACGGCAGCAGCACCCCCAAGACCTACAGCAGCGCCATCGTCAGCTGCGCCCCGCCGTCTACTCGGGTTGTAGGCATGAACAGGCACGTGATGACTTGTCAGTTTTGAACTGCTGTCGTTATGTGTACACCCATGCGGTGATGCGGTACACCTACAATACACAGCATTGCCGTCAGATTCTAAACGCGGCGTTACGCCGTGCGGTACTGCCGTCAATCGCCAACACTAACTCCACCTCCACCTCCACCCGGCACTGCCGTCAAACACCTCTCTCTCCTACTCTTTCTCCAGAATAATCGCGGCAATACACCGCGCGGTAATGCCGACAAGCTCGGACTCTTACTCAATCAAAACGCGACCACACGTCGTGCGGTACTGCCGTCAAACCCCACCGCTCGGTCAAAGGCCGACTACCTGTAGCAAATGGGTAGACCCAACCTAGGTTACCAGTGATCCTCAAAAACTGATGCCAGTTTCTAAACTGATGATACGATGTGTGTGTAGGCATGGTATTAGAAATATTATTGTGCGTAATGTAATGCAGTGGCGAGCTTTTGTGCTTTATCTTCCTGTCAGCCGTGTTGAGACCAACTTTCTCTCCCCGGCAATAGCGTGATCAACGTTTTATCTGGGCTCTTTTTGGTAGCTACTTCTTGAGCAGCAGGTTTAGCCTGATCAAAAATGTGTGATCAACGTTTTATCTGGACTCTCTTTGGGTAGCAGCTTTAACCTGATCAAAAACTTTCCATGTCTTGGTTGTGTCAGCGAGTACCAGAGACGTGTGAAGTCTCAGCGACGTGCAACATTGTGTTGCAGATTAAAAATCCACAATATTGACGAAATAAATGCTGATTTCCGAATATTGTTATACGTTTTCTTGAGGTTGCTATTTGTTGTGAGATTGCGGTTCCAAGTTGTTAAGGTTTTGACTCAGGATTGATTACCCTATGGTCAAAGCAGGAACAGCGGCTGTATCATTATTTTGTGATCGAAGACTGATCAACCTCCGTTTCAGGCTGATATTCAGCTATTTTTTGAGTGGCAATGTCGCAGTGATCGATAATTTCAGACAAACCATTCCACAAGTAGGGTCCGACGACTTGAAAGTGTGTTTCATTTGTTGCTTTTTCTGCTGCAGTCACTACTGTGCAGAACCGGGGGGAATGTTGGTAGTATATGACTCTCCTCAGTATTGCTGGTTTGTTCGGAACTACTCTGCCGCCATCTTTCCCTCCAAACGCGCGACCTGCCCTGCACCACCGCCGACTCAATCCTCCGGGAGCGACAATTGTTCTTCCCCCACTCCAGGCGGACCCCCCGGTGTTTTGCCATCGGGGTTGGGTTTTCGTCGCTTGGCAACGACGTTGTAAAACAAGCCGCCCCTCCCGGTGTTTGCCATCGGGGTTGGGTTTTCGTCGCTTGGCAACGACGTTGTAAAACAAGCCGCCNGCGAAATATCCGCTGGGGGGGGCAGAAACAATGGCTCACGCAATGGGTCAAGCGCTGGAGGTTGATGCGCCGGCAGATGTAGGGGTTTCGAGTGTTACTGTTTTGGTATTGAATTGGAGGATTTTTGAATGTTTTGTTTTGGTGTATTGGATTCGATATTGGCCTTGGTATTGGATTGGTTTCTAGCATTCGGATTTGCGAACGGTGTTTCGGCATTGGGTTTGATTTGGTTTTGGTGTTTCGTCGGGATATATTTGCAGGAGGATTGATTTTCTTGGGTTTCGACTGGACGAATATTGAATGTTGTTCTTTTGGTCTGTGGTTCAGATCTCCGACCCCTTCTAAAATCAGGGGGGCGGATCTCCCAGCGCAGGGGGGCACGTTGTTCTTTCGGAAGGAATTTAAGGTGGTCCTAAGTTTTTAGAGAGAAGCAATAGGAACAATACTCGCGTATTTTCTGCGCAAGTGATATTCACGCTGAACGAATGTTTGGGGATGTATGTTGTTTGATCGGAAAAGTGTCAGAGTAGAGGATTCATACCATGCCCAGAAGCGTTTTACCTGCGAAGTGGGCATGAAACGTGTACGTTTGTTCTATGCGAAAGTTTGGTTTGTCTTGGTAGGATTCGTAGTCGGATGGATGTAATCAGACGCAGAACGAAGGCGATTTTCTACGAATTGATCAGTCGTTTGGAAAGTAAATGAAGAGGAGTTCCACAGTTAGGTTTGGTTCAATGGATTTTTTAATGCTTTAAGTTGTGCGGAGGACATAAGTACTTTGCGGGTGCCGTTGCGGCGAAGTGCTGAGAAAGGATGGACCAGAACTAGAGCGTGTTGCAGAGAAGGAATGAAGGCGACGAGACAAGACGGTGTGGGTTCAGGAACATTTGCATAGTCGAGTTCTAATTTGTTTGTCATGGAGGAGTAGGATCCACGTTTTGGGTCGTAAATGGAATAATGTTGACTTGCCGTATCATCATTACGATGCATACGAGCAGTGGGGCTGTTAGATATACTCGTAGCGTAGTAAAAATAGTTGAATATTGGACATGGATCGACGGAGATTGCAATTGGTAGATTGCGGAGGGCAGGGAGTTTCTACTTGGTTTCTTCGGAGATTCGATGAGTGATCTGAATTGCGTGACGGATGAGTGTTCTGCTTTTCTCTTCGGTTCCTCGGACACGAATGTTCTCTGCTGTCCCCTCTCCCTGATAATACAAGACTGTCTCATCTCGGCCCTCACTGGCCGAGCTGCCTTACTCCACAAACCTTCAAGCTTCGGCCTACCCGGTATACCCAACACAACGCGTAAGCGCGGTGTTAATTCGAGTGTCAAGATGGCCGCCCGAAACATCGGTGACATGATACTATCCATCATGACCACAACCACTTGCATAAGCACAGACAAAACATGCAGAGCGATGCACATCCATCAGCACAGCAGTGGGACTCAAAGCCGCCACACAACAAGGACACACCGTCTCCCTTGGTGGCCGCCGCTCCAAGCGTTGACGATGACAACACTCTAACCCTGCCACGCCATCCTCCCTCAGTCTCGTGTTGCTCCAGCCGATGCGGACTATCACCTAGCGTTACGCCGCTTACCCTTCGTCCTTTACCCATGTCGCTCACTGCTCCACTGCTGTGCACTGCTCTGCTACGGTCGGTGGCTGCTCTTGTTGCAGTTCGGGACTCGTGGTGGGGTATTTACATTATGATGGAGTTCCGCGCGGCGCGTTGGTTGACTTTTCGTCCAAGTACCCCCCTCACTTGGCCGAACGCGTACCCCCCCCACTGCACCCATCGTTCTGGAGAAGCCTCATCTCGTCATCTCTGCCATTGACGGTGCCCATACCTTACAGAAAGGCATCGCGGATATTGCCCAGCGCCGAAGGGAGTGATGGCGGACTTTCTCAACCTGGATTCAAGGTAAGTGAGCTTGTTGGCGCAACGAGGGTCCCACAAAGTTGCCTTCGCCCTGACTGCTGTTTCGCCCCGCGCCCCAGGCAAGAGAAGCCGCATCAGGTGTTGTCCCAGCAGTCAGTGCTACGGCAGTATCGCCGTGTAGTTTCTGTCCTGGCCTGTGGTATTCTACTGGCACTGATCGGACGCTTGACGCCAATTCTCAGAGCACCCCATCCGTATTTGTAAGATGCGTCGTCTTTCTGAACCTTTCAAGAGTATCGAAGTCTGCGTTTACCCACCGGCTGTCAACTTTGACAGAGGCAACAAGCTCAAGAAAGAGCAACAGAAACGTCGAGATGCCGCGAGGCTGAGAATTCAGAGAGAAAGGCGGAGTAAGGAAGCGGCCGCGAAGGATCAGGCGAGAATCGAGGAGCAGATTAGGGCGAGAAAGCTCGAGCAGCGGCGGAAGGAGGAAGAGGTGGGTCGTTTCGGGTTTGACTTGGCGCTGGAACAGCAATTATGTAGCAGTACCGCCACCCAGGTGATGCTAAGCACCCCCAAGCACAACAGGTTCTGAGAGAGAAGGCCGTGCGGTAGTCTACAGCGGTAGCGTGTTTTAATCAGGCCGTTGTACATGAAGTTAGTGGGTGTGCATCTGTGCACTCCAGGCTATGTTTCACACGTTCACACGTACGCACACAAATCCATAAACCCCTCTAGATTATCCACATGTTCTAGAACAAGACGAATGGAGGTTCTCGAAGGAACCACACAAAATGTAGGGTGTCCGCCACGGTTGTGGGTGAAGTGCGAGTATACCTAGGCCTGTCCAGCTACCTTGGAATTTCGTCCCGGAGATCAGCGTTCTCACCGCACTCATCACGGACCTGCTACGCCACACGGCGTTCAGTTCGAAGCGAGAGCGCTACCGCCGCGTACCGTGGGGAATCGCGCAGACTGAAGCCTTCTACGAGATCATCGGTGATCTCCGGGAAGAAATTCCAAGGTAGCCGGACACGCCTAGGAATGCTCGCAATTCACCGACAGCAAGCAGTCGCGGGCATCTCTATTTCCCGCACGGTCTTGACCTTGGACGGCGCTGGCCGCACACCCGACCTGCAGAACATGCACTCTCTGAAGTGTACCGATTACCCCAACCCCCCCCCCCTCACTTTTAAGAACTTGGCATTTGGCATTTTTTTTTTCACCAAATTGTTGAAGGTTGAGGTTCTAGGCCGGTTCAGTTGTCAACGACGGAAATCACACCCACGTGCTATGCTGTCCAACAAGGCTTGTTCCGGATCATCAACGCTTGGGCAATACGTTTGGGAGCTTGAGACAGCATGTGTCTGAACGGGTTGGCCACACACGTTGAATCCGCCGACTCTCCCGTACCCCGCAAATGAGAGGTTCCGCTTGCACTTGAAATCGCTGAGCGATTGGTCCCTGCATCCTCTTTCTGTGGTCACGCAAGTTGTGCGGTGCTCAGAGTAGAGAACATCGGCTGGCACATCGGCTGGCACATCGGCTGGCCGCCGTTGCTCCTTTCGTTCGGCCCGACCGGGAGGGAACCAACCCGACGTGTTCGTCAAACGGGCTAAAAGAGTGTAAAGCAGCAGCGGTGGTGTTTCTTTCGCATCCGCTCGACGTTCGCAGAATCTTAATTGCCGAGCCTCCTATCGCCCCTACCCTCAATCAGCCACCCCATAAGATATAATGGTGGTCGAGTAGATCATGTTGTGCGGGGTCGAGAACCCTCACTCCGCGCAAGGGGGATGATCGCACCACGTTGTGTTAAATTGGTCAAGCACCCTCGAGGCAGTTACACAGTGCTTACAACTGTCTCTGGAAGTGAAGCACCAGAAAATAAATAAAGTCATACGCAGCTGTCATCCGTATGCAAGGAAGTGAGCACAAGGTGCCGAACACCCTTAGCAGGATGCAGTGCACCCGTCATGCGACTCGCCGAATACCTCACGGCGCTTCGCGCTTGGTGATGTGAGAGCTTGGTCCGGTGAGAACCTGGCGTGCTCCGTCCCGGCTTTGTAGGGATGCGAGGTCAATGGTCTAACGACTACGGCATGCACGACTATGAGTACCCCCCCCCCCCCATAAGACGCACCATGCACACACCTCGGGTAGCTCTGTCACTTGTGCCATTGTTCAGCTGGTGGGGAGGGGTCACCAACGAAACAATCCGGTGGCACCAAGTGACGACGCACGTGGACGGCCTTTTGTCACAAGCTCTCGTCCCTCGCAAACTCGTTTTCCAACATCTTGTCGCCTAGCGGTCTGTTATCGACTACTAGTATCACACGCGTGGCGCCATGCGCACAGCTCCGGAGGCATCGCTTGTCATTGCCGCTGCTTGAGTGTGGGGAGGGGTCATCACCGAAGAACGAAACCGGTCACAAGGCAAACAGCCATCTCCAGCAGCGGTAGGGATAGGTCTTTAGTGACAGCGTGTTGGCCCTCCTCGCCAGATCGAATTCCGAACCTCCTTTGGCCTCACAGTCTTAGTAAGCGGCCCCTCAAGGGACAGCATACACACAGCTAGGGGGGATAGCTTGAAGCCGTTGCATTGTGATCTGCTTCGAAACACCAAATCGGTGGTGAGGTACACATAACGAGTGCATTGTTCAACGGCCGTTGGAGCGCTTGTTTTCATCGACTGCAGTGTTCGAGTTAGGCAATCCAAAAAAAGCTTGGCAACAAGGACGGCTCTGTCCCAAATGCCAAGAAGGCGAAGGTTTTCTTTGCCGCGCACGAATTGCCCGAGATGATTTCAACATTCGAGAACTAGCAATCATTAGTGATTCCTGGATCATATCACCTGTACGTACGCCGAAGCACGTAAGGGGCCCGCTCGTCGCCCAAAGAGGCAAGTATTTTTGGGCCTCGGCTTGGTTCCGACGGAAGCGGAACAACACACCAATCGTGTTCGGGGTTTGGTATTTTGTCTGTTTCCTTTTCTGGTGGGGGTTGTTCGTAACAAATCTCGTTTACCGTGTAACCCTCCAGGCGAGGAAGCAGGAAGAGGCGGATCAAATCCGAACTGGCGGCATCAGCTACAAGGAGTCTCTCCTGGCGGTCACAGCCGATGGCGAGGGGGACAAGATTCTCCTGCCACCATCCGCCCTAGAATCTCTTTCCAGGCAGGACGCGGTTGGCCTTGGACCCATGCTGTTCGAACTCACTTGCACCACCTCCGGTGCCGCTCCCACTGCTCAGCAGCAGTGGGAACAGGTCCCGGCATTGCAAGGCGGCACGATGACAACGACCCGAACGACGCACGCCGGGGTGTTGGAATTCGTCGCTGACGAGGGCACTATCGGACTTCCTCGAAAGGTGGTGCTCAGCCTTTTGGGGGCTGCCGCACACCAGGTGCCGTCCCGCACGAGCGACGAAAACATCGGTGCGAACGACGACGCAGAAAATGCGAAGGCTGAGAGGCCGGCGGTGGAAGGGCTCGAGAACGTGGTGGTGAGGTATGTCCGCCTCGCGAAGGCCACTTTCGCGAGGGTGGTGCCGGAGACGGTGGGGCTGTCCCAGGTATCGGAGCTGAGAGCGATGTTGGAGCATAATATGCGCAACCACTCGACGTTGACGGTTGGGGATCACTTGAGCGTGTGGAGACGAGGAAAGGAGTTCAGCCTGAAGGTGAGAAGTATGACTGGCGTAGAGTGAACCGTCTCTCGAGGGTACAAAACAAGTACAGTCGAGGGACCCTTTTAGTGCCGGTACGTGCACAGAGCGTTCACCGGCACTATATCGGGCACCCGGCACTATTGCGAATAGTGCCAAAACGGCACTATTGAGGGCTGGCCAATCCCTCATTAGTGCCGGTACCGGCACTAATGAGGTTGTGTTCGATTTATGGTGTAGCGCCCACGCTTACGGGGCCAACAAAGAACGAAATGGATCGACACTATTACTGTACTGTTGAGTGAAGTTCCAGCATGGGCGTGGGCAGAGTTGAGTTTTCTTTTTGTTGTCTTGGGGCGCTCTTTGGTTCTTCATTTTCTTCTGCACCTCACTTATTTGCTTATTTGTGTACTGTCGTCGGGACAAATTCTCTCCTGTTTGCCTGGCGCACCCGCTTCGATGTTGCAAGAAAAAAAAAACAAGCACGACAGGCAGCGCACCGCAAAAAATCAAACAACCGTTACCACAGCTGTAACCCCTGC